ATTGATTACTAGCATTAGATATCGGATACCTTACGTCCGATTCTCCCGTAGTAGAAATGGATTTCCATTTATCCTTGATATGACCTTGATATGACCTTCAAAAGGTCAGGTCGAAAAACTAAAAAATCCCTATGCTCATGTAAAAAGTGCCATTGTTTAAGAGCCCATTGTCAAGAAACAGGTTCTGCGGTCAAAAATAGGGTTTACTGATCAAAAAATGCGTTATGAGCCTCAAACAACCTTGAAAATTGACCTCAAGGTCAAGCTAGTTAAAGTGATTTACACTTTTACAATTCATTGACTTTGTTTAAGCATTATGCACATTTGTGTTACCCAGAAAACCACGTCATTTCAGAAAAAGTACACCAGATCGTTTTTCAGACATTTCACCTTCATTTTTTACCTTTCCAAGGTCGCAAAAACAATTTTTTCATAAGACAAGTTTGATGTAAAATTTTCCGCTCTTTCGAAATCCGCAGTCAAAAATAGGGTGTCCCATTAGAAAAAACCATCGTGACCTTGAAGTAACCTTCAAAATTGACCTCAAGGTCAAAACCAATGGTACAATTGAAGGACTCCTTCTGTCCTGGTCAACTTTTATCTAAACCATTTTTTTGTAGATACCGTAATTTGGAAGATATTCGGATCCATAGACTAAAATGACTCACCCTGTATATAGAATAATATTATATATATTATAAGTTATAATACAGGTTATAATAGAATAATTACACATCTGCACATAAGTTTTAGTACTGGATTTACATTAGGCGCGATTATCGACGAGCGAACGATATCCAATGAGAAATATTATTTTATTAAGGCTCCTGGCCCCGGAGCCGAGAACTCCGAATCGACCGCAGAGCCATAGTTAGCTGTGGTGAGAATCAGAACCTTATCCAGTGTAGCAACTACATGATAAATGCGATGAGGTTCTGTTCCATGCTACGACTGGTATGAGTTAAACAAAGACGGACAGCGAATATCTATCTGTCCTTGTCTGACTACTGGCGAGCTAACAATCGCGGCAGCAGACACGAGCCAGCAGCGATCTTCTCGCTTGCACACACATACACATATGTATATATACAGGGTGTTCGGAAAGTACCGGGACGCCCGAATATCAGGAAAAATATAAGTTTTACAAAAAAATGTTTCAGACAAAAGTTGTGGCGTTTAAAAAGATGTATTTACTGATCACATCAGTTTGACCTTGGGTTGCGTAGCGAAGGTCAGGTCAAGGTCACATTAATTTTTTTAAATGGAA